TTTTTTTTTTTTTTTTTTTTTGCCGAGAGAGAGAAAATAGGTTGGGAACCGCTGCTTCGCATCTGTGAAAATTCCTAGGAAAAATTACAAATCGATCGTCTCGACTATTTTAATAGCTCTGGCGTTAAGAAGGCGAGAAGAAGGAAAATACTTCCTCGTGCAAGGTTATTCTACTGATATTCAAACAATTGTCCCAAGGCCTTCGTTCATCTTTCAAAAATTTGCACAAGTGTCTACTCATGTACGCGATCATCAGAGTTGTCAGGACTCGTAACAAGAATCGAAGAGTGAATGAGGAGTCGTGCAGATTCGAGAGAATTTTTTTTCTTTTTTTTCTTTTTTGGCAAAGAAAAGAAAAAAGTCGATTGGAGAAGCACAAGGCGAGACCGTGACAAAAGGAGAGAGAGAGAGAGAGAGAGAGAGAGAGAGAGAGCAGTCGCGGAATAGAAACGCCCACCTGTTGCTTACATCAGGTTGCCTGCGCTTTATCCGCAATTATCGCGACGTGATCTATCGGCTTAGATCATACTTTAATCTAGAGACTTTCTCCCGCACGCTGCTTCCTCCGCTTCTTTTCCTTCGCCGTTGTGGAAACAACGTATAATTCCGATATTTCATATCGAGGAATTAAGCAGACCAGTGTATTCTCGATTTTTCGAATTTTAGTGAAAATCGAAGATGTTCGATGTTAAGTTAAAAACCAAGGCGAGTTTAAGTCGTTTCTCGATACTCTACAGAATTCCATTTTGTTTAAATTATTTTTTTTTTTTTAAGTTGTCGCTACTAAATGTTTATTGAATTAAATTAAATAAACATGGGCACGATTTCTATGTAACTTTTGAGATGGTCCACAATTGGCTACATATGGATAGTACATATTAAAATATATTAATTTAATTAAAAGAAAAGAAAAGGAGAAACAAATTCAGAGCAGTGAAAAATAGAAGCTTCAGAAGGTTTTCAAATGAGGCCAAAAAGTGAATTGTCGATCTTTTTTTAACGATTTTAAGTTACAAAGTGCCGACAGTTATTTCGAGACAACAATTTATATTTGCCGAAATCGCGATGACAAGGGCAGTAAAATATTTCTTGAAAAGTCAATGTTTTATCTTTCTTTGTATCATCCTAGCGTGCAAATTACTGGATAAAATATTATTATTAGTGTTGAAAAAAAGAATCCACCATGCTCAAAATGCATAAAAATTTCTCTATTTTTCTTAGATTCTCAACGATTCTCGCGACGAGAAAATAGAAAGTTAGAATTTCCTTTTTAGAGTCAAGAAAAAAAAAAAAACTGAAATTTTCTCTCTGGATTTAAAAGCAGATGAGCTAAGATTTTCTTCTCAGATCTCGAAAGCAAAGGAAGAAAGAAAAAAAGAGAGAGAGAGAGAGAGAGAGAGAAGACACGCACGCTCGTTTCTCTCTTATCGAACCTCGTGAATTTATGAAATCTCGCGTTATTTTATGAATCCTTATTTATTTATATTTTTTATCGGCTACGTGCGCTCGTACTTTGAGTTCACGATGGATCTGTCTGTCTACAGTGTGTCTCAAATCTACTGTTCGCCGTTTGAAACGAGGTTCGAGAATGATCGGAGCGCGTATGAATCATACGCGAACGTGTGAATTCGCCTATGTTCACCTATCCTACTTGCGACGAAATCGACTCAAGGCTATTAACATTTGC